GTAGTACCTGAGAGAGCAGACTCACCAGCACCTGGAGCAGCAGACGCACTAGCACCTAGAGCAGCAGCCTCACCAGCACCTAGAGCAGCAGCCTCGATGCCCGGGTCAGGCGGAACACACAGGTAACAGTCACCCTCAACACTATCAGACACAGCATACATGGCAGCAAGAATAGCATCATAATCAAGATCAAAGATAGCAACCCCCGCCCTAGACAGCTCTCCCCAGCGAGGGATCTCAGAGGCCTCAGGGAACTGGTGACGCCACGCGTCCGTCAGGCGGCCGAAGCAGCGCTGGGTGGAGTGCGGGCCCTTGCACTGCTCACCAGCACGGTCGCCGGTACGGAGGACGTAGGTGCAGGGACCAGTACCCCCACCACACTGACGCGCAGCGTACCACTCACGAAGCTGCTGAGGGGACAGGGTCTCACGACTGCGCTGCTGCTGCTGGCGCGGACCACCACCGGACCCACTCCTCTGCGCAGAGCCGCGACCAGCTCCACCGCTGCCGCCGCCGCCTCCGCCACCTCCGCCGCCTCCGCCACCTCCGCCGCCTCCGCCACCTCCGCCGCCTCCGCTCCCTCCGCCACCGCCGCCGCCTCCTCCGCCTCCACTGCTGCCACCGACACCTCCACCCCCGCCACCACTCCCACCACCACCCCCACCCCCTCCACTGCCTCCACCACCACCTCCACCGCCCCCGCCAGCCCCTCCAGCGCCCTTGCCCCCCTTGCCCTTGCCGGTGCGGCGTCTCCCGCTAGGGGCAGACGCAGCGCCAACCGACTCGAAACCAACGAGGTCGGCCGCAGCAGCAGAAGCAACAGAGGGCAAGAGGGGGGAGGGGGAACACCCCTCAAAGACGGGGGTGCGAGGGTCACCACGAGAGGCTCCTACAGCGACTATGCTCTTCTCTGCTGCTAGGAGGCGCTCCTCGAGGAGGTCAACGGTGAGTGTGGTGGGGCAAACTGAGAGGAAGTGGTCCCTGACTAAGCGAAGGGAGTCAGGGAGCCGGGTGACTATGTAGTAGAGGGTGATGTACATGGGGGGGGGGGTTCTTGGCACAGAACTCAGCAGGAAGCGCAGACGGTAGCGAGTGTCACTAGTGCGAAGGTGCGTAATGAGGTCAGCGACTGTGGGAAAGGCAGCAAGGTCAGGGAACAGGTACGGCAGCATGAGGCGGCTAAGCGCAGCAGTGGCAGGGGAGGAGTAGCGTGCAACTACAGCGTCGTACAAGGTCTTAGCACTCTTGTACTGGCTAAATTGCGCACGCTCAGTGGTCGGTAAGTGGCGACGCACAGCAAGGCGGGCAGCAGCATCGCGTGTGGCCCACTGTGAGCGAACAGTGCTGTCAGCAGTAGAAGGCGGGGCAGGAGAGGCACCAGAGGTGAGATCGAACAGGGAGAGTCCGTCTGCCCTATCGCACTGTAGGAACAGCTGGAGGTCATCGACCCAGACCTCAAAGTCAACAGCACGACCCTCAGCATCAAAGGTAAGGACACTGGGGGTAGCCATGACTGCAGTGGCCTAGCAGGGAGTGATCTCACCAGTCCGAGTAAGTAGGGCCGGGGCGCGCCGGTTGTTGGGCGGCTCGGCGGCTCGGTTGCTGGGCGGCTTGGCGGCTCGGCTGCTCGGCGGCTCGGCGGCTCGGCGGCTCGGCTGCTGGGCGGCTCGGCGGCTCGGCTGTTGGGCGGCTCTGCTGCTGGGCGGCTCGGCGGCTCGGTTGCTGGGCGGCTCGGCGGCTCGGCGGCTCGGCTGCTCGGCGGCTCGGCGGCTCGGCTGTTGGGCGGCTCAACTGCTGGGCGACTCGGCTGCTGGGTGGTTCGGCTGCTCAGCTGCTGGGCGGCTCAGCGGTGAAGGGGCCGGTAGAGGCGGCGACGGGGCCGGTAGAGGCGGCGATGGGGCCGCTAGGGGCGGCGACGGGGCCGCTAAGGGCGGCGAGGTGGCCGCGAAGGGGGGGCGGCGACGGGGCCGCTAGGGGCGGCGACGGGGCCGCTAGGGGCGGCGACGGGGCCGCTAGGGGCGGCGACGGGGCCTACTGGGGCGGCGACGAGGCCGCGAAGAGGCCGTAAGAGGCCTAGAGGGGGCGGCGACGGGGCCGCAAGTGGCGGCGACGGGGCCGCGAAGGGGCCGCGAGGGGCCTAGAGGGGCGGCGACGGGGCCGCTAGGGGCGGCGACGGGGCCGTGAAGGGGCCGCGAGGGGCCTGTAGGGACGGCTACGGGGCCTAGAGCGGCGGCGACGGGGCCGTGAAGGGGCCGCGAGGGGCCTAGAGCGGCGGCGACGGGGCCTAGAGCGGCGGCGGCGGGGTCGTGAAGGGGGCCGCGAGGGGCCTAGAGCGGCGGCGACGGGGCCGTGAAGGGGCTGCGAGGGGCCTAGAGGGGCGTCGACGGGGTCGCTAAGGACGGCGACGGGGCCGCTAAGGGTGGTGCGAGGGGCCTCTAGGAGGGCGCAACGTGAGGGCGACCTACGGGGCACGCCTCGGGCAGGAAAAAAAATGTCGAGTTAGGTGGTGGGCCCTGAGAAGCGTTCCCACGAGAGAACCTGCTCTATACCATGTGAAGAATGAGGAATGAATGAACTAGCACAAGGTTGGGTACAAGTAGGAAACCCTAGGAAACTGTACCCCATAGTGTCTACCCCACTATAGCCTAGACAAGCTATATGATATGAGTTTGACAACAGGAGCTCCGCTGGCTGACCTTTTTGCTCACTGACTTGGGTGAGTTGCCTTATACTTCCCTGGTGAGTTGTCTTTGACAGCAGGGCCATGTTCGTGCTGTGCTAGGAGCCTCGACTGGTCGGAAGCATGAAGCACGTTGGACTACGCTACTTCGTACAATGTGAGTTACATCAACGCGACCAGGCACGTGTGGTACCAAACCAAGGTGCTTCAGCCTCGTCATCATCGGTGATTATGCATCCAGCTCACCCAGTTACAGGAGGATTTTTTTACACTAAGAATGCATACATGCGGGTGAATAGAAAAATACGGCCACGTTACCGCGGGCCATGTCAAATGAATTGCATGATCATCATGTTACGGCACACCTCCTCTTCCCAGCTGTCTATTACATCGGCCCCTCGTTCCACGTCAGTCTGCTCCGCCCCTACGCCACATTCATGGGCCAACTCCTCCACAGCCGCCCATAAAGGATGGCACGACCACCGGCAGAACATGTCATCGAGCCTGAGAAGATATAGAATACCAAAATAAGGCAGCACCCTTGGATATACCATTAGAAATCACTTTGTCATCACCGTCTACCTTCGCAACATATATTTTCGGCTCGTCATCGTACTTTCGAAAGAATGGTCGCCTTAAGGAAGGGGGTAGTAACGGAATCATTTTTTCCTTATTTTGCGTCACCTGCATACTGTGTACAGCACAGTACACACCGTCACTACCAATTCCATCCCGTTATTCACCTTGACCACTGTCCGCGCCATCGCCCTTGAGCCACATGCCTCGGCTGGTTACAAGGGCCTATTTTTTGTGTTGGGGCACTCTTAGGAATCAGGGTGCCTTGATGACGTCACCCTGCCTCTCAGGGTATTTTTTCTTCCACCCTATTGAAATCAGGGTAAACTTTTGAGCGCCATGATTCGTAACGGAAATGGGGGAATTGGGGCTGGAAGTCGAGAGGAAATTGCGGGGAGGGGCTGTGAGATGTGAGGGAAACGGGGGGAGTTGAGCGGGGAGTGGCGAGGGAAATGGGATTAATGGGGCTCGGCAACTGGGAGAAGTGAGGGAAATGGGGAGAATTGTGCTGAAGGTGCTAGGGAATTGGGGAGAGTGGTGTTGGGAGAGGTGAGGGTACTTTGATACGTAAGGGAAAGAATGTGCGCACACTGATTTTGATAAGGTAGAAAAAAACTCTGCACTTATGAAGAACGGGTACAAAATCACCTATCCTTTCAGAATTAGGGTAATCATAAATAAATGGATTTTAGAAAGGGTAATGAGGGTATTTTACCCTTGAAAAAAGCCCCTGCTAGTAACCCGTGGTCCGGCCCGGCCCTACACCTCAATTATTTTTTAGCCTAAGCACTAGGCACATAAAGCACCCCACCCTTTTAAGTGTTGCCATTACCGTTCTTTTTGCTATATGACATTCACTCATGCATTCTCTTATATTGTTCAATTGCTTCGATTGTGCAATCTTCTACCATAACGTAAACAAATTAGAGTAAGTATTATGCTATTACCACCATTGGTTGGCATTTATGTTCTTGTTGATGGAACTAACATGCATAATACAGTGCCGAGTGCAATACTATGCGGACATTCCATTGGCACGACGTATTGAGTGTTAAACTCCCTCATATGACATGCTTCCTTGAGAAGGAATTGTGTGGCTGGAATGTTTTTCCAAAGGCTTACACATGAATTTTCAGAATTTATATTCAAGGTATGAGAGCGCAGTTCAAAGGTTTTCAAGAATCGTTCATGGTAATTTGACAAACTTGGTAAAAATGTTTTCTGAATTCCGCGAGAATGGCAAAATGTTCCATACACACTCGATAATGCGACGGAACCGCAAAATGCGACATCACTGTAACAAAGTTGTACCCTGTCCGTGTCGTCAATATAGCATTCAAGACGAAGCACTTCATGACCACCTCCCAACGAATGAGTAGACGAACACCACTTTCGTCAACATGGATGGAAGGAAACGGTTGGTCTCAGAAGGTCGACAATGCAATTTTGGTTGACCCTACAACTTTGAGCCGCGCCCTCATGGCACCACTACAGATTGACCACACGTTCGCTTTTTCCTTGGCAAAATGCGTAAGGTTGAAGCCGCCATTTCCACACACAGTAGCCCAGCGCACTCTTGCGAACAGTCCCTTTTACCATAACATTTCACTATCACCGTTTATTCAAGCACGCCAGCTCACTGTATGCCGGCTATTCCAAGCAATGACGCTGGCGATAACGGTAGTGCCAGCAGCGGCCTTAAAACCGTGGTGCGGGTAATAGATAAAACCGCCATTTACCTCATATGCTCGGGACAGGTGAGCCCGATAGCCAAACCTTTAACTAGTCTTGTTGTTATTCTACAATAGTCGTTCGTGTGGCCAATCTTCTTCGCACGGTTTCCTGCATCCGTCCTAACTTAGGACCACTGGCGACGTCGTCTGCCTTGTGTAGTTTGTCTCGCCTGCCCTCCCCCTCCCCGCCCCCCCCTTTCTCTCCCTCCACCACCTCCCAATCTCCCGCCCCCAATCTCTCTCCCCCTCCCCCCTACCCTTTACCCCGGAGCTCCTCTCGACCCGCAATAGTACCACGTCCTTCGTCCCTCTCTCGCCACTCGCCTTTCGCCCTGCCGCGTGAGCTTGAAATTGGCGCGATGTGAAGCTCCGCACGCCACACCGCGGATCGCAGCCACACGTGTTGCAAAGCTGGCGGAGAACACGGACGCGGCTAGTGTGATTCTTGCCTTTCCCCACCCAAACACCCCCCTACTCCCCCTCCCTTACCACCGCACTTCCAACGCCCCGCGCAAGTGGTGCTGGACGTGGCAGGCGTGGTGAAGGAGCTGGTGGAGAGCAGTCTCGCTGCCAGTGGGGTACCTGCTTCTTCCCATCACCCAGCTGCCCCTTTCCTCCTCCTTCCCCACCGCCTCCCTCCCATCCACCTCGCGCAGGTGGTGTTGGATGTGGCAGGCCCGGTGAAGGAGCTGGTGGAGAACAGCCTGGACGCGCCCAGTGAGATACCTACTTCTTCACACCAGCCAAACCCACTTCTCAACCCCCCTCCCTTGTCCACTCAATCCCCGCGCAGGTAGTGTTGGAAGTGGCAGAGGCGGTGAAGGAGCTGGTGGAGAACAACCTGGACGCGGGGGCAACGAGCGTGGAGGTGCGCCTCAAGGACTTTGGCGTAGAGCTGATTGAGGTGGCCGACAACGGCTGTTGGGTCGCCCCTCCCAACTGGCAGGTGACGTTAAGGCCGCCCAAGGGTTGTTGAGTGCGGTTAATGCGCAGGTTGGACGCGGGGGCAACGAGCGTGGAGGTGCGCCTCAAGGACTTGGCCACGGAGCTCATTGAGGTGGCGGACAACGGCTATGGAGTCTCGCCCTCCAACTGGCAGGCAGGTGACGCCTTGACCGTGCAAGGAGCATTGTGGGTGGTCAAGGGGCGTTGAGAGCGCTCAGGATTGTGGGCGCTGTGGCTGCCGGCTGTCAGGGCATATCCGATTGCTAACAAATGGGTGTGTTGGGTGACGGGGGGTGTGGTGTGCCTGGTGACAGCTGGCAGGTGGGGGGGGCTTGGAGAGTAAGGGCGATGTGGGTGAGAGTCTGAAAGGTATGCATGGATGAGCTAGGACTTGGCACAGAGATGGTTTGGAGTGGTTGAGGTATGACTGGGAACTTGCTGGATGGTGGGAGGTAATTGTTTAAGTCAACTCAGAACTCACCTCTGTCACCTTTACCCGCCCTCCTTCTCTCTGCACCATTGCAGGCACTAGCCCTAAGTACCACACATCAAAGATCGCTCATTTCTCCGACCTCCAATCGCTCTCCTCCGTCGGCTTCCGAGGGGAAGACCTCTCCTCCTTCTGCGCCCTCGCTGACGTCGCCATCACCACACGCACCGCCAATGAGCCAATTGCAACGCACTTGGCGTTTCAAGAAAGCTCCTAGGCAGTCGGAACGATGGTCAGCGTGGCGAATATTTTCTCGCCGCTGCCCGTGTGGTGGCAGGAGTTTGAGCGGAACGTGCGGCGTGAGTTTGCAAAGCTGGTGAGGGTGCTGTAGGCGTACTGCATGGTGTCCAGACACGCGCGAATCCTCTGCATTAATCAGAGTGGGCAGAGCAGCGCGCACACCACTGTGGTGCAGACAGCTGGCATGGGGTCGATGCGCGAGAACATAATCGCTGTGTTTGGCGCCAAGGCTGCTGCGGGCCTGGACACAGTCAATATCACCTTCCCTCTCTCCCCTGCTGCCACCGCCGTTGCCCCTCCTGCTCTTGCTGCTCCTGCTCCTCCTGCTGCTGCTACCGGTACAGCTGCCACTGCCTCTGCGTCACCACCAGCCTCTTGCTGCAGAGTAACCGGGTTTCTATACGGACCAGGGGCTGACAGTGGGAGGTCATCGGGAGATTGGCAGTTTTTCTTCCTCAACGGGCGCCCGGTGGACCTGCCGCGCCTCTCCAAGCAGCTCAACGAGCTTTACCGCTCCTTCAACTCAGTGCAGTTCCCCGCCGCTTTCCTAAACGTTCCGCTTAGCGCGGATGCTTACAATGTGAATGCTGATGCACTTGGGTACAACAGGAAGCTATATATAGTCTTGACACAAGGCCACTAACCCAGGTGTTACGCAAATGTTTTTAGGGTCGCGAAGCGTCCTGAAGAGAACCTTTCCGAATTCGGTAGAAGGCAATTTGGTGGCAACCAAAAAGGCCTGGAATTCGGTACACGCAACCTGGTTCGGTGCTATAAGTATAATAAAAATATAGGAAAGTACCTAACATTGGAAATCAAGCATAAGTAACCATGATAAATGTAACCTAAGCTAGAAGTAGCAGAATAAAGTTAAGGCAATCAAGCATAGCTAGCATAAGTCGTTGTACTCTCACATTCACCCATAGTATATTCGGTCTTAACACGGCTGAGTAAGAATGACACGCAAAATGCCAAGGGCTATTGTTCCACCAGGTTACTGTGTACATTTTTCTAACTGATGTAACGACATCTGAGCATGTTCTACATGACTGTTCCGTTTGTTAATATGCCACAACCCTCGAGGCTGCAGCGACACATATTAAGAATCCGTTTGCATCCTCTTCATTGGGCGCCTGATTCATGGGCGAGCGATGTGGCCTCAATCGAATGCCCCGTGACTAGCCTCGTTGACTAACTCACCACATGCACGCTTCGTGGGGCGAAGGCACGCTTTAGGGTGGAGCAATGTTTGCGGCTTAGCTATCACGTCTACTTCATCAACTTCTCAGTTTGTCAGTGGCATCTTTAGCAACCGTGGCCCATGGTGCCATCTCCATATTCAGAGACGTCGCAATCGCACCGTCTTCGCGCCACACCTGTCCGTGAATCCCTTCGTGCTAGGCTTACACACAGGCTGTGATGCCAACAGTCTCGCAATCTTCGAGCGAGACTTCTGCTCCTTGCTCCCCGCCAGGGCCCAAAATTGGGTTTAGTGTAGTCTTACTAATCAGGGTGCCTTACTAACGTCACCCTGTCTATCAGGCTGGAAAAAATATTACCCTGCCAAAAACAGGGTAAATTGAGCATGGTGAAATAACACCCTTATTGTATACGGGTAAATCTTCCTTTCTGGTTTTTTCGAACCTTATAAGGTACTCGTTTTGTTAGCTTGCAGCAAGACAAGAATCTGCTTTCCACAACTTGGGCGATAAAAATGCTGGGAGGGTCGAGGGAATGGGGGGGCAGGGGCTGGGAGATGTGTGAAGGAAATGGGGGGGGGGAGGGATGAGGTTTGCATTTGGAGAGCCCAAGGAAACAGGGGGAGTGAGGCTGGAAGTGACGAAAGGAATGGGGCTGATGAACTAGGAGAGGCGAACGGATTGGGGAATTGGGGCTCGAACCCGAGCCTCGGAAGGAGGGGATTGGATGAGAGAGAGAGAGGCGAGGGAAGTGTGGTACGTAGGTATGGGAGGCGCGACAAAATCAGATTCCTGGTTCAGTGCACGCTTTTTCGCGCCCTGTTTGGCAAGGCTAAAAGTCAAAACACCCTTGCAAAATTAGCCTACTCTGAAAGTCTACACTTTTGTGGGAAGGGTAACAGACAAAACAGGCTGTCAAAATCAGGGTAAACCCCAAAAACTGGCCGCTGGTAAGTGTAATGAGTGTGTTTTACCCTTAGAAAGTAGGCCCTGCTCCCCGCTCCCCGAAGTGAAAGTCCCCGTCTTCCCGTAGTCTAGTGGGCCGCAGGGCAAGAAATAGAGGGTTTTGGATGCTGCCCCCCCTTCGCCTCAACACCGTATGACGAAGAAGGCGCGTCAATCCTAATTAGCCAGGGAGAAACTTTACTGGCTAGCGATGTTGGATACACAGCCTGATCTCAACTTCAGATTGTTGGCGAAGCTCGTCAACGTGAAGCCGAAGTAAATCCGCAAGTGGCGGATGTTCAAGGAGCGGCTGCTTGTTTCTACGATGTGTCGTTGCCTCGTAGGTGCTGGACGTAAAGCCAAGTGGCCGTTCATGGAAAGGGCAGTCTACCGTAAGTTTCTGTCAGCGGCCATGTCGCCAAGGCAATCGGCCGGACGATGCGCCTCTTCAAGCTCGCTCGAGCAGTGATCCCCGGCAGTTGCACCCCGCTAGTGGAACCGTTCGACGTATCCATCAACCAAAGCTTCAAGGCAGGGGTCCGCCATCGTTACAGCACGAGGATATGATCAACCTCATAACTGTTGCTGGTGAGCCCGTGCCCTCTTCTTGTGCTTTGTTTGTCCATCATTGACAGTTCACACCATTAACTGCACACACACATGCACGTCGATGCCACGGGCAGGCAACTTGAAGAAGTCCTTCTCCCCCTCCCCCCCCCCCCCCCCAATCCCCCCCACCACCTCCCTACCTCCCCCCCCCCCTCCAAAAATTCACAAAGAAGGCTCGATTGCCCTGCTAATGCGGGTTGTTGTTGCGTGGGCACTTGCGAGTGGAACATGTGACAACAAAAACTCTGAAATTCCTTCACACACGTAGGGAAGGGGATGCTTGGGCTCTATGCATTTCTGTAGCTCCTCAGTTGACGACGCATTTGAATGGCTAGCTCAAGACTTACCTTACAAGTTACATAAACCTGGATGCAATACGAGGCTATATATAGGCTCGACAAAAAGGCAGAAACCCGGGTTTTACTAGAAGGTTCCGAGGGTCGCGAAGCGTCCCAAACAGGCCCTTCTCGAATTCGGTAGAAGGCAATTTGGTGGCAACCAAAAGGCACAGAATTCGGTGCATACTAACTATTTGGTGCATGTAAGTATAAAAATCATAGTTCAAGCAACGAATCTAAGAAAGCAAGCAAGATAAAGCCAAGCTAGAAAATAAAGTCTAGCAAAGGCACCGTACTCTCACACGTCCCCCCCTCAAAACTGGGTGGCGTGATAAACACCCTGCTTGACAAGGTAATCTTTGAGAACATGGCGTGCGTTAACCATATCAGCTTATGCAACCCAACTGTCCTCCGACGGGTCGTATCTCTTCCAGTGTATCAGGAACTTGAGCGTGTTGCCACGTCTGAGTTGATGAGCGGGGTCTCATTCCACATCGTATGAGAACAGGCCGTGGTGGTGGCAGTAGCTGTCGTCCTATGAACTTTTTGTTGGGGTCCTTGTAGGGCTTCAGCAGCTGAACATGGAAAGCATTATAAAGCATCCTGGAAGAAGGTAAGCACAACTAGAATGTAACTGGAGTCACCATCGCCTCAACGCGGAACGGACCACAGAAGCAAGGCCGGAGCTTAAACAGAAAGTGAGGTAAGTCAAAGTTGCGAGTGTCGAGAAGCACCTGATCTCCGATTGCTATTCAGTGATCTCGTTGCTGTCGATCAGCAGTTTTGCATTGTGATGAGACGTCGCTGAATCTTCTCCCATAGCTCTTGCATGGTGGTGACAAAGTCGTATGCAGCTTGGACGTGTGCCATTGTGGTTAGCTGCTGTAGTGTAAGTGGTTCCCATACGTAGCACATGAAAAAAAAGAGTTTTTGCTATGGCCGCAGGTGAAGCGTTGTTGTAAGTGAACTCAAGCATTGGTAACTGTAGATCCTAGTGGATGATGTCGTCTTTGCAAGCTATGCGCAGTAATTGTTCAACCACCTGATTGAGTCGCTCCGTCTGTCCCTCAATCTAGGGGTGATACGCTAAAGACATGGCAAGCTTTGTCCATGGGATCCCTCTAGAACTTACTTGTGAATTTTGGGTCTCTGTCCGAAATGAGTGTAACGGGGATGCCGTGGATGGTGATGACGTGGTCGAATAAGAGCGGAGAAGTTGCTTCAGCTGTAGCCGTGGCGTTGGTCGTGATGAAGTTCCATTTTTGAGAACTTGCCAATCACCACGAGTATAGCGTCATGCCCTCATGAGGTCGAAGGAAGTCCAGTGATGAAGTTTAGGCTAACGACTTGCCATGGGCTGTAAACCACGTCCGTGATCCTGCATCAGTACTACTCCGACTACCTGGTCACTAAAGTCTGCTTCCACCACGTAATCTTGTCTAGAACTGGTAGGATGAGTACTGGCGCTGTAGTCAGTGCTGTCTGTAGTTGCTCCATGGCTTGCTGTTGAGTATTATCCCATTTTTAGGGCATATCACTTTTCAGCAGGTTGGTCAGTGGCGCTGCTATCTTATCATATTGCGACACAAACCTGTTGTAGTACTTGGCTAAGCCTAGGAACTGCTGCAACTCCTTCATGTTCTCTCGTACTCAACACATTTTAATGGCTTCGATTTTTCGCAGGTCCACGTGTACGCTCTTGGCACTCACCATATTCCCAAAAAACCGCACCTTCTTCAGGGCGAAGTCGCTTTTTTACAGCTTCACGTGAAACTTGTTCTTCCGCAGGTTCTCAAAGACTTTTCGTACATGCTCCATATGCTCCTTCATGTTCTCAGAGTAGTTGAAAATGTCATCCAGATACACCACCATGCACTCGTCCAGCAGACGCCGTAGAATGTGATTCATGTCCACCTGAAACGTTGCTGGTGCATTGCAGAGTCCGAACGACATCAATAAGTATTCATAGGAACCGTATCTAGTATGGAATGCTGTCTTTTGGATCGAGTTGTCAGCCATCTTGACTTGCTAGTAACCCGACTATAGGTCCAGCTTCAAAAACACCGTCGCACCACGCAATTGGTCAAAAGATTGTCAATGCACGGTATGTGGTATTTGCTCTTGACTGTCTGTTTGTTCGGTGCCCGGTAGTTGATGCACATCTGTAAACTACCGTCTGGCTTAGGAGTGAAGGGAACTGGAGCATCATAGGGAGAGGTGAATGGGCGGATCAGTTGTTTGTCCAGTAGATACTCTATCTGCTTCTTCATGTTTGTCAGTTCGGTCGGACTAAGTTGGTATGGTGCACGTGAGACGGGTTTCGCACCTGGTTCCTCCATGATCTCGTGCTTGTGGGTTCGTGCTGGAGGCACTCCTGTGGGCAGGTCATCCGGCAAAATGTACTCGGCTAGTTCTTCATGTATTGCTGCAGGAAGCTCCGAATTTATCTTTTCCTCCTCTGCAGCCGTTGTAACCAGTGCTAGGTACCCCGTGTCCACTGTCCTTTCGAACCATGCCAGTGTTGTTTCAGGAACATCCCCTTGATCCGAGCAGCTTCGCAGTTCCACACGTTTCTTGTGGTTGTAGATGCATGCCTTCTGGTTGACCCAATCGATTTCGGGGTTGAACCACTTCAGGAAATCTTGCCCCGAGATAAAATCTAAACCCTTGATGTTCGTGACCGGCAACGTTGGTTTCCATCTCAACGCACCTATGTGCAGCTGCAGTGATGTTTCGCCGTCGATGGGAAGCTTCATACCGTCCACCATCGTTGCAGTATATCGGGTCTCTTATGCCTTCTCTCCATTTTCTCCCAACGTCCCGTTGTCGCACACCAGTACCTGGAGGCGTCGTCCTTTGCATAACACCTCAAGGAGTAGTGGTTTCTACTGCACTTAGTAGCCAAAGATAGTCTCGTTAATAGGATCATAGGGTACATCAAAATAATTATTGTCTCTATTTCCTATACCTGAATCAGCACTCCTAACTTTATCTAGGGGGTAGAAGGACTTTTCAGAGGCTTGGAAACCTTCTCTTGGGCCTGAAATTCTTCTCTAAGCATTTGCAGCTGTATAGGCTTCACATGGGGGAGCCTTAAAATGGGCCTGCGGAGAGAGATTATTAAGTCCATAGAACGCACGACCCTCCATAGTACTTTGCCCAACTTCTCAGGTACCTGAATATTTTTTAAAGGCTTCAAATTTTTCAGAAACCACTTGCGGCAGGGAGGAAACCGGTGGTTGCTTTAGCCAACTGATGTTGGGATATTGACATGCAAGCATGAATCCCACCAGTTGGTACAGCTTTGAGCTCACTCCCGTTGCTGCCACGTTGCCAGTGTCATCTCACTCCCACCACCACCTCTGCCATGGACAATAAAGAGTCTGTAGGGGCAGCCGGAGGTCCAGTAATCCAGGCTGGAAGCTCGATTCACTACAGTCAAATGGGAAGGGGTCCTGGCAACAACCACCCTTTTGCTCCCTCACTCCCACCACCATCTCACACCCACCACCATCTCACTCACACCACCATCTCACTCCCACCACCATCTCCCTCCCACCACCATCTTATTCCCACCACCATCTCACTCCCACCACCATCTCACTCCCACCACCATCTCACTCAAAATTGATGGTTAAGTTTTTGCACCGCACTAGCTTGATTGGTAGGTGCTGTGCGTGAAAGTTTACTTCTCTGGCTGAATCTGGCAAGTGGGCTTGTGTAAAAATCAATTGGGGATGTATTACATTTCTTTACCCCAAGAACTCTGTTCAACTCGTTGAGTTTGTATAGAGAATTAGAATCCTTACAGTAGGCTTATTTCAGCATGTATACTCCGACGAGTTCGGGTCAGCTGGATCGGCCTACAAATTTGTACCGAACCACTTCCGAACCGTCGTCGCACCTTTCTCCAGACTTCAGAGCCTCCGTTACATCGAAGTCCTCGCCTAGTTCGGCTCCGCCTACTTCATCCTTGTTTCCGACAGTCATAGGGGATTTCAGTAATATAATAGTTGGTAAAAACCACACACTTATTGCATCAGGCCAACATTTTGCAAGGACGGGCGTGGGGCTCACTATGGATGACTACACAGGATCAGGAGGTGAGAGCTGGAAATAGTAAGATAGCGATCTCGTCGAAGCGACACATAGAGCGATGAGGGCGAGAAGAGCCAATTCGCGATAGCACAGAGCCGTGACAGCAGGGCGCGTGGACCTGTAGCAATGGTGGGGTGGACAAAGAGGAGGCGCAAGCCTGGCATTTGTTGAGAGAATTCATAGTACAAGTGGCGATACTACACTGGCAATGGAAGGACGCTTGGAGCGTCAGATAGTGGTGCAATCGCTACTGCGTCAGAGCGACAGACAGGCAAGGGCACAGCGTGGTGTACGGCGATGAGAGAGCGACGGACTGCGACAATAGAGAGACGAACTGTGACAAGAGAGAGATGGACTACGACAATAGAGAGACGGACTGCGACAATTGAGAGACGGACTGTGACAACAGAGCGCGACGTGCGGGGATGAGAGAAGAACGGACAGCAACGACAGAGCGGCCGGCAACAGCGGGAAAACGGCAGTACATGGAGATGAAGCGACAAAAAATGGCAGTACATTGCGTTAGCGGAAGAGGAGGCGCAATCCTGACATTTGTTAAGAGAAGTCATAGTACAAGTGGCGATAATCCACTGGCAATGGAAGGACGTTTGGAGCGTGAGGTAGTGGCGCAGTCGATACTTCGTCAGAGCGACAGATAGGCAACGGCACAGCGCGGCGTACGGTGATGAGAGAGCGACGAACTCAGACATGAGAGTGATGGACTGTGACAACATAGCGACGGCCTGCGAGGAGTTGTCCACAAAAAAAACAAATCGATCCAATTCCCGATGGAGGATAGTGCGCAGAAGCATGCGGAGCAGAGGTGGAGCAGAGGTGCGAAGAGCAGAGGTGCGAAGAGCAGAGGTGCGAGGAGCAGAGGTGCGCGTAGCAGAAGCAATGGTGGTTGCATCAAGCACGCGCGCGCAGGCAAGCCTTCCAATGGCGACAGCAGCGGCTGGTGGTGGTGGCATCGTTGCGAGCAGCACATGCAGAAGCGGCGTTGAAAGCCTATGCCCAACATTTCCTCACCGCGGCCCCCGCTACCGCCACCATCCCCGCTGCTCGCGCACCTCTGCCGCCGCGTTTGCGAGTGTCCACGGAAATAGGTTTGCGTGCCACGTGGGGAAGGAACGGAGACGGGGGCAGCAGTGATGGGCGGCTGCGCGGAAGGGGAAGGGAAGGCGGAGTGGTGAGGGAAGGCACAGAGAGGGTAGAAGGGATGCGGGCGCGCGCGGCTTGGGATTGGTGGAAGCAAGGCGAGGGGTGGGAGAACGGGGAGCAAGGGGCGAAGCAGGAGGGCGGAGGAGGAGAGAAGGGCCAGGCGGAAGGGTGGGGACGGGCAGAAGGGAGGAAGCGGGGAGAACACGTGCAATGGGCTCTATGGGGGGCGAGAGACGGGGAGCGATTGGGGGAAGGAGGCTGGGGGAAAGGGCGGGATAGGGGGCAGGTGCGGGTGACGGCAGCAACGTGGGAGAGCATTGGTGTGAGGCGGGGGAAGGAGAGGCAGACGGTGAAGCAGAAATGAGTGAGGCGGTTGAAACGCACGGTGGTGCTGGCGAGTCAGGGAGGGGGGGTGGGTGGAAGAGTGGATGGGGAAGGGGGAAGGGCGGCGGGAGGGAAAGAAGCGGAGTGTAGAAGAGAGGCGCGTTAGGAAGGGCGGGGAGCGGACGAGAGTGAGGGAGGTGGGTGTGAGGCAGATGGGTATGAAACGAGTGGATAGGCGAAGGTGGGTGAGGAGCAAGGGAGGAGTGAATGGGAAAGGAGGAGAGGAGAAGCGAGGGGAGGAGAAGGTAGGGGAGAAGGAAGGGGAGGAGAATGGATGGGAGGAGAAGGAAGGGGAGGAGAATGGAGGGGAGGAGACGGAAGGGGAGGAGAATGGAGAGGGGAGCGGAAGAGAGGGCAAGAAGTGAGAAGCACGCTCAGCCGACCACTTCCATTGGCGTAGATGCATGCAGTGGTGGGGCGATGAGTCAATCGCTCACCTTCTCCCCCACTCCTCTCGCTCCACTCCCCCTTCTCCCCCCGTTTACGTCCAGCAGACGGTCACCCCTAAGATCAAGGGGTGAGTGATGCTCGGAAATGAAGTGAGCAGTTGGGATTGCATGCACGCTGAGGTGGGAAATGAAGTGTGCAGGTGGGTTGCATGCATGCTGAGGTGAGAAATGAAGTGAGCAGGTGGGATTGTATGCACGCTGAGGTGGGAAATGAAGTGAGCAGGTGGGATTGCATGCACGCTACGGTGGGGAATGAAGTGAGCAGGTGGGATTGCATGCACGCTGAGGTGGGAAATGAATGGAGCAGGTGGGATTGCATGCACGCTGAGGTGGGAAATGAATTGAGCAGGTGGGATTGCATGCACGCTGAGGTTGAGAATTGGCATCCTTTCACACTTGGCGTGACTCATGCAAGTATGCCCGATTCCCCACTGCACTTGTAAACCCACGCTGTTCCATGAGTGCCATGGTGACTCAGTGTCAAACATATATGCTGCTTATTGTGTAGGCTGTAGTGGGGTAGCCCATATGGGGTGCAACCCAATTAGGGTTTCCTACTTGTACCCATCCTGCTTCTAGTTCATTCATCCTTGTTCGTTATACTGACATGGTTTCAGAGCATGTCCTAGCCTAGGACCGATTTCTTAGGGCCCACCGAGTAGCGCTACCCCACCTGTCGCGCCACTGTGATCGCGTTGCCCTGCCCTACCCTGCCCTGCCCTGCCCTGCCCTGCCCTGCCCTGCCCTGCGCCGCCTGCTGCAGCGCGCACTGCTTTGCCTGCGCGCCGCCTGCTGCAGCGCGCCCTGCTGAATCGCGCGCAGCCTGCTGCAGCGCGCCCTGCCCTGCCCGCGCGTCGCGTCGCGTCGCCGCGTCGCCCTGCCCGTGCGTCGGGCTGCATGCCCTGCCCTGCCCGCGCACCACGCCGCCGCGCGCCCTGCCCTGCCTGCGCGCTCTGCCGCGCGCCTCTGCCCTGCCCGCACGCCAAAGTCGCGCGCCCTGCCCTGCCTGCACGCCGCGCCGCCGCGCGCCCTGCCCTGCCTGTGCGCCGCGCCACCGCACGCCCTGCCCAGCCTGTGCGCGGCGCCGCCGCGCGCCTCTGCCCTGCCAGCACGCCACGCCGCCGCGTGCCCCTGCCCTGCCCGTGCGCCGCGCCGCGCGCCCTGCCCTACCCGCGCGCCGCGCCGCCGCGCGCCCTGCCTTGCCCGTGCGCCCTGCCTGAGCGCCGCGCCCTGCCCTGTCGCGCGCCCTGTCCTACCGTGCGCGCCTTGCCCTACCACGCGCCGCTCACTCCTGCACTGCTGCTAGCGCGCTCACCTGCCTGCGTGCTATTCGACTGCTAGAGAGCCCAACTACTCTGCCCGCTATGGCCACTCTCAACGTTCTCACCTTCGATTTGGAGGGCCGCCCGATAGAGTTCAAATGCGTGGCTAGACGACTTACAGCTGTTCCTGCTGACACACGCTAAGGACGGTACTTCACTGTTTGACCTCACTTTTGGCACCTCGCCCGCCCCTGACGCCACAGCTGACAGTGCGACTCGCTCACAGTGGCTTACTCGTGACGATGCTGCTCGCCTAGCCGTTCGCAATCACCTACCGTTAGCCGAACGCGCCCACTTTGGCCAGCATAAGACAGCTAGAGCACTGTACGACGCTGTAGCCGCTCGTTACTCCTCCCCGGCCACTGCTGCTCTAGGCCGCCTTCTCCTGCCCTACCTGTTCCCAGAGCTGTCTGCCTTTGCCACAGTAGCCGACCTCGTCACTCACCTTCGTACTAGTGACCCTCGCTACTGCGCTGCGCTTCCCGCCGAGTTTCTCACCAAGAACCATCCTCCCATGTACATCACTCTCTACTTCATAGTCACCCGCCTCCCTGACTCTCTTAGCGCTGTCAGGGACCTCCTTCTAGCCGTTGACCCCACCACCCTCACTGTCGACCTGCTCGAGAAACACCTCCTTGCAGCTGAGACTAGCATAGTCGCTGTAGGTGCTTCTCGTGGCACTCCTCGCACTCCCTTCTTTGAGGGGTGTTTGCCCTCCCCCCTTCTCCCCTCAGTCGCCTCTGCTGCAGCTGTTGACTACCTTCGTGCTGAGGAGGTAGGAGCTGCGTCTGCCCCTAGTGGGAGGCGCCGCAGCGGCAGGGGCAGGGGATGTTGGTGTAACGGCCTAATAAACTCAAGCTATTAAGACTTTATCAAACTTAAAACCTCTCCTCGGGGTCACCTCCAAGGGTCCTTGGGTGCCTGGTACAAGACCAGCCCCTATCCTCGGGTCCGAGTTTGTAGAGAGAGGGATCAAGAGGGACTTAGTCAAAACAGCAAGAGTACCTTGAACGTCGCGCAGCGTATCGTGCAGACCGTCGATCGGATTAAGCTGAGAATTTCCTATATCGAAGCTCGCTCCAAGAGCATTAAAATGAACCAAGTTGCCTCGCAAAAAGTTCTGCCATTACGAAGTTATGGCTCAGACAGCGTTTGCCTAGCGTTGGAGTGCTAGCGTACTAGCGTTGACTCGGGTAGCATTCCGCCGTCGCACCGCGTAGAAACGAAATTCCAGGAAGGGAGGAATTCGCTTTGAATCAAATTGACTATATCCAGGTACAAACAGAGAAGGAATAAATAGTTCTAGCTAGCAAGGACCTTGGGAATAAACCTGGGAACAACCAGGGATGATCCCAAATAATTCCAAGCAACAGAACCAACCTGGCTGGACAAAACAGCAGGTGGTAGGTTGGTAAACAACCTCTGGTTCTGTTTTTCCAACCTGGGAAAACAACAACCAGGTTCAGGTCCTAAAAACAGAACCTGTTTTGTCTTTGCCCAACCAGCCAAATGCTGGTTCCGCTGGTATCCCCTGGCCCTGTAGCAAGCAGATACAGACAAACAACATCCAACCTTCACCTAAATTGTACCCCTATAGTGCCTGCCCTGCTACACTATAGTCAACCAGACAAAACAGTACAATTCCGAGTTGGATAGAACTGAATCTGCACAATCAATTCAACCGAACCGCAAAGCTTCCATCTTGGGTTCCTTTGCGAGCTCGTCCTTTCTGCTTGTACTGTTCATAGCGCGTACAATGTTGTGCCGAAGCGCACAATGCGCGAGTACCTGCAAATGCTTCAAGCAAAAATTGCGAAAGCAAACAAACACACGAACATTCTATTCACACCCAAATGCATTCGCACACTCATACTCATACAAACAGACGGCAGGATGTCGTGCAATGTGAATTTGGACCCAACAGGGGAGGCAGGAGCGGTGGGGGTGGAAGAGGTGGAGGCGGTGGTGGGGGCGGTGGAGGAGGTGGAGGGGGCGGCGGTGGAGGAGGTAGTGGTGGTGGGGGCGGAGGGGCAGGTGGCGGCGGTGGTGGCGGCAGTGGGAGTGGTGGAGGCGGCGGTGGTGGCGGCGGTGGTGGCGGCAGTGGGGGTGGAGGCAGCGGCAGTGGTGGCGGCCGGGGTGGTACCAGCCAGAGGGGAGGCCTTGGAGGTGGCCAGAGGCAGCAGCAGCGACAGCCCTTTTCTTCTCAAGAGCTCCGTGAGTGGTTTGCTCAGCGTGGGGTGGCTGGGGGTAGTGGTCCCTGCTTGTATGTTATTCGCACAGGTGACCGCAATGGTCAGATATGCGGGAGGCCTCACACTCAGCACCGCTGCTTCTACCGCCTTACCGACGCCTTTCGCGCAGAGTTTCCTGATGCACCTGAGCTCCCCAACTGGGCGGAGCTGCTTAGGCAGAATGTTGATATCTTTGCTCTAGATTTTGATGCTATCCTATCTGCCATGTATGCACTGACTGTTAGTGCTGAGGGTGACTGTTACCTGTGTATGCCGCTAGACCCAGGTATAGAGGCAACTGCTCTAGGTGCTAGTGAGTCTGCTGCCCTAGGTACTGGTGCGTCTGCTGTGGCCATGCACACCTTCACGCTTGACTAAGGTGCTTCCCGCTGTTTCTTTCGCGACAGTACCAAAGTCACACCGCTCTCTGCATCTGTTGTTGTCTCTTTGGCTGACTCCTCTGGGGGCCCAGTCCTTGCACGTTTCTCCACTGTTCTGCCCTGTCCAGCGATTCCGTCTGGGTCACTGTCACGTCTCCACCTCTTCTCGTTCTCTACGAACATGGTGAGCACTCCTGTCCTCCAGGATGCGGGGTTTGACACCTTCACCCTTGGACGGCAGCGTGTGGCGATCTGTACGTGCTCCCGGACCGGTCGCCAGCTAGCCACGTTCACCCGTCGGCCTGGGTCGAGTCTGTACACACTGACTACTATGCCTCCTCAGGTAGCTGCGTCTGCGTCTGCGTTAGGTCAGCTTGCTGCCCCCTGCTCGTGTCGCGCCTTGTCGCACCAGACGCTCCTTTGGCACCACCGTCTTGGTCACCCCTCCGTGGCACGCCTCCGCGGCATGCACTCCCGCCTCCTTGTCTCCAGTTTTCCCAGGTCTCTGCCTCCCCTCCCACCCTCGCCTGCCCCTCCCTGCCTTCCTTGTGTCAAGGGGCAGCAGCGCGCCGCTCCTCGCTCCTCCTCGTTCCCCTCGACAGAGGCTCCCCTGCAGACTCTCCACCTAGACGTGTGGGGCCCAGCCCACGTCCGTGGACAGGGCCACGAGCGGTACTTTCTGCTGGTTGTTGACAACTACTCGCGTTACACCACGGTCTTCCCTGTGCGCCGCAAGGGGGAGGTCCCTGATGTTCTGATCCCTTGGATCCGCGCTGTTCGTCTCCAGCTCCGCGAGCGGTTCGAGACGGACCTTCCAGTCCTGCGTCTGCACTCTGACAGAGGTGGTGAGTTTTCCTCCGACCTCTTGCGGGCCTTTTGTCGTGCAGAGGGCATTTGCCAGACGTTCACGCTTCCGGCCTCTCTAACAGCAGAATGGGGTTGCTGAGCACCGCATTGGCTTGGTCATGGAGGTCGCTCGTACCTCCTTGATCCATGCGGCTGCCCCCCATTTTCTGTGGCCGTT